TAAGTCAAAAGCTTTTGAAGCTTTATAGATTTAAAGAGAATGATACACACGTGTTAACAAGTAGAAATATAAAGAGTGCAAGAAGATGGCTTAGGTCTATCTAGCCTAGATCTTATAGTAGGCCCTGTCTTCTATTAATGGTATTTAGCTCTTTTGGCAGAGACCAAACTTCTGTATTTCCCCCTTTTAGAAGGTTATACCCCTTATAGAAGGTTATACTTTGTTTTACTGATAGTCTAGCAAAATGTGTATGTTTTTAAATATAGATATACACCTATACTATATTTTCTATTTGTCTCAAACTGAGTCTCTACCAGGCCCTTCCAAAAACAGGTGTTTACAACAATGCAGTGAATGAGTCCCCCTTACAAAGGGGTTATGAGAGATTGAACCACTTTAACACTTCTGCTAACAAAACTCTGGTTCTAACAGTGTGGGGGGGGAGGGCGCTTAACCTCCTCTCCTCTGCACTTGATTCATCAGAACCAGGAAACAAACAGTGGTGATTCATCAGAACCAGGAAACAAACAGTGGTCTAAGACCAAAGAAAACATACAGCATACACAGCACAGCCTCACTGAAATCTGGCAGTTTTGTAAGCATTTTACTTTAAAATTCTGATTACTGATAATGAAGAAATGTATGATGAAGAATTCTGGATTTCCTTTTATCCTAAAACTCATCTGGGAAGTATTTCATCTGACCACAGCCTCAGGTACTCCTCTGTCACTAATTAGAGAAATACTGGATATTTCAGTGAAAAATTGCTTAATTATATTTGTCAGTCTGCTCTACACCAATTAATTATTTACTTGTAAAAATCTTTGATGCAATGCTATCCAGAGGTTCATTTCTGGAATGCAGACCAGAAGCTATATTTCCTCTTCTACCCCAATTAAGCTGAAGACTCGAGAGAGTCAAACACGTTGTGGTGGTACACAATGATTTACAATATTACACACTATAAAGAAAGGAATCATTTTCTTAGTTAATGCTATCCCTTATAAAGTGTTAAGTCACTGTCATGTTCCTTCACAAGCGGACATTTGTGATTTCTTTTTCCTAATATAGTCTCTTCTACAGAGAATGACTTATGAACTGAAAGGATGTTTAGGGGGGAAAAATCCAGCATTTCTTAATTGCACCTTCCTGTATCTTTTGCATCGAAGCTCTGCCCGTCCCGGTGCCGGCATACCTCTCACTATCTGAGCAGAGCAGGCAAGCAAGGAAGGGCCCGGTCTGTCACACGCTGGCCCTGAAATAACAAGAGGAGCGCAGCAGAGGTAGAAGACTCGGGCTTACTGGGCTCCTCCTCTCAGCCAGGCACCTGTGAGAAACTCAAGACAGCCTGGTAAGCAGAGCAGACACGGCCCTTGCCTGCAGGAGCTTGAAGCCTGTCCAGTAGGAAACGCAAACATCAATGAAACAGCCACACCCCAAGACAAGACGAGAGAGTGCTGTGGAGGAAGGTCACCCCAAGGATGCTCATGCCGCACAATCAGCGCGGGGTCCAAGGAAAATGCCTTGGAATGGAACACCACCGGTGGGCAGACCAACACAGCCGGGTAAACAAGCAGAGGAATGGCCCAGAAACCATGAACAAGAACACCCGCAAGAAGGGAAAATAAGACACGTGGAGGCTGTGAGTGGTACAGCTGCCAGAGAACAAGCCGGAAGTAGAGCAGTGGGATAGGTATACACACAAAACAGATCAAAATTCTTCCTGCAGGGAAGAATGATCACACAGAGCTTGTAAATCTTACTAAATATTTTACCCTTATTAAGTGGACTGGAAGCAAAGGTTTTTCTTTTTCCTTTTTTTCTGCTCCTCTTACAGACTGATAAGAGAAACAGAGCTGAGGAATGGGCATTAGATGCTGGCAAAGGAGCTGGAAACTCTGGCCACACAAGGGAGAGATGGTTCCCTTTGCATTATAAAGAGACAAACTGGGCTGGGAAAGTGGCTCAGTGGTAGAACGCTTGTCTTGCATGCCTGAGGCCCTGGGTTCGATTCCTCAGCACCACATAAGCAAAAAGAAAAAAGCCACAAGTGGCGCTGTGGCTCAAGTGTTAGAGCGCTAGCCTTAAGCTGAAGAGCTGAGGGACAGCGTCCAGGCCCAGAGTTCAGGCCCCACGACCAGACCCCCCCCCCAAAAAAAAAAAGGAGACAGGCAAAAATGAAACCAGTAGAGACATCTCAAAGACTTTTAGTAAAAACATAAATAAAGAGAACTTAGTAAAGCAGTGTAATGGAAGAGTGAGGGTTACTGCTTACCAGCATGTACAACTAGACAGGCTGAAGCTGAACTGAGCCAGGAAGCAAGGAGGCAGGCTAGTGTGAGGAAAAACATGGAATTGTCTGCCAACACTTTGGGCCAAATGGACTATATGAACTTAAATAAGGTGAAAGAGCGTAATTGGCTAAAATGAAACACAATGCAGTCACAAATCCAAACTGTGAGAGAAACTTCATTACAGTCAGGACACAGATAGTCCACTAAGAACAAGGCTCTCCCACAGTACACTGGTACCTAGTAAACCAGGGAAGAAGTACTTTAAGGGAATAAAAAGCAGAGCCCAATGCTGCTGAGAAATGAAGCAGTAAGCTTCTGACTCTTGTCTTATTGACAGGTAACGATTTACTCGCTTTCCCATCTCCTCCACTATGGAAGTGATCTAAAACACTAACCAAGTTCCAGGCAGAGAATTTGCCATTAGTTTTACTCTCTTGTAAGAGCTATGATACTTTCATACCTGTCTGATGAAGTATTGCATTTGTGTATTTTGCATTTATCAAATTATGGTTATCGTTACTGTTACTGTTATTCATTAATTTGAAAAAGCTTTTGTTGGTGGATGGCTGTTTGTCCTAGAGATGGGAAGTCTCTAATACAGATTCAGGTGACTTGAAACACAGACAGTTCAAAGCATTCAAGGGTTGATGATAACATTAACTTCTCCTATAGCTCCTTAGTAGAGAAAGCTCTGTCAACTGTCAACTTACAGATGAGGGAATTAAGAGAAGGTAAGTGATATAACAGTCAGAGCAGCTGACATTCCAACACTGAACTCCCCTTGAGAGCAGAACTCTTCACCACTGAGCACCTGAATCAGAAAAGTACACCAATGCACATAAGAAAGTGTGCGGCTATCAATACCTTTTCCTGGGGACAAAGTCCAGGGCATCCATCAGACCTCCATAGGAACCCTGTTAAGCTAAAATGTCAATGCTATGAAAGGAAAACTGTGTTTCTGCAGAAGAAAAACCTGATTTTAAAAACAACAGGGTGTTTTTTGTCCCATTGGGGGTTTTTCATGTCAGTTGTAGAACTTGAACTCAGGGCTTCTTTTGCTTAAGACTAGTGCTCCACCACTTGAAACAAGCTCCACTTCTAGCTTTTTGGTAGTTAACTGGAAATCCAAATCCTATAGCCATTCTCTACCCAGGCTGATTTTGAACTGCGATCCTCAGATCTCAACCTCCTAAGTAGCCAGGATTCTAATTGTAAGCTAGTGGTATCCAACTTCAAAAAAATCAGTTCTATTTAGTAGTAACAATCTTCTGCTCCCTAAATGTCAGGTTTCATTCCCAGAATCCGTGGAAAGACTGACTCAGGTAACTATAAACCAACAGATTTAGGAACTCAGAACCCATACCATTCACAGAAATAAAACTTCAGCTTACAACATGCAGCAACCTGCCCAGGAAAACAATACGTTATGAAAAACAACTCAGGAAGCCAGCCTGCTATCTCCACTGACAAACAGAAGCTAAATAATAACTCATATAATTATCTGCCTGAAATAGCCAACTCTTTTATGTTTTTGATAAAAACACCATTTTTAATCAAACTTCCAAGGTATTTTCTTATGCAAACTACCTTGTGATTTGTTTGGGATGATGTAATTAAATAGTTAAGATTTACATAGTAAATTTACATTCAAACTAAGATATGTTCTCAGAATCTGCTTCATAAACTGAAGGTTAAGTGATATGCAAGCCAAGTCTTGTAGCCAAGTCTTTGTTACAGCTATGACCAACTGTAGAAAGCCACGCACTTACGACCAATCATGTAAGATGCCCTCTCTGTCCACTGAGAGTGGAGCCCCAATGTTGCCTCTGTGTGACAAGCACCAAGTATTTAAGAGTAGCTCAAGATGCCGCAACAAGTACCCTTGATCTCCTCAAGCATGAAGAGAATGGGTAAGCTAGAAATTAGAAAGCAAGATCAGAGTTGAGAGCCTGAATCGCCATATTATCGTAGATATTTATGTAACCGAAGTTATAAACAATAACAAGAAACTGAGCAGCTACATTTACACAGCCTCAAAATCTGTGAGGCTAAGTGGCACTATTCTAAATTCTTAAGTAGTCACTGTCACAACAACCCAATAAAGTGTGTTCTATTACTGTGTTTTAGACAAAATAATAGTACAGAGAAGTAACTTGCCCAAAAACAAGCAGCTCTTAAGTTACTGTTCCTTGGGATTTGGATAACTGGCAGGTGACTATAAACCCAACTAGCACAACACTTAAGAAAGAAAGCTAAACTTCTCAGTATTTGGGTCCAGAGATGAAGGTCTTATCTGATTAGTCCCTCCCAGGAAGAAGTCAGGCTACCCTAGATTTTTTCCCTGCTCTTCTTTCCTGATGTCCTGAAGACCCAGGATAGAAGAAGATCTGCTCAGAAAAATGAAACTGAAAAACTGAAGTTTCCGAAGAAAAGCCACCAGGCCTGGTTCCAGGTTGGTTCTGAAGTGTTTTGCTCTTTAAAGTGACTAGCTTCAGAATCAGTCTTTTCACCTACCACGCATTTAGCATTATCTTGAGTATTATCTATCTATCTATAGCTCTCTCTCTCTCTCTCTCTATATATATATATATAGTGTGTGTGTGTATATATATATATATATATATATATCTTTAAGTATTTAATGTGCCTACAACGTTTCACACAATTCTGTGAGAAAAGAATAAAACTAATTTGAAAAGACTTTACCTTTATCATTCTGGAGAGATCACCAGCATCTGCTAATTCCAAAACTATGTTGAGTTCATTATCTTCAATGAATGATGCGTAATATTTAATTACATTTGGATGGTTGAGTTGCTGAGGAAAAAAAAAAGAAAATAGTAATCAAAACCTTTTTAAATTCCATGGGCTGGGAAGATGGCTCAGTGGTAGAGCGCTTGCCTTGCATGCGTGAGGCCCTGGGTTCGATTCCTCAGCACCACATGAGCAAAAAAGAAAAAACCCGGAAGTGGCGCTGTGACTCAAGTGGTAGAGCTCTAGCCTTGAGCTAAAGAGCTGAGGGACAGCGCCCAGGCCCAGAGTTCAGGCCCCACGACCAGACCCCCCCAAAAAAATACCTTTTTAAATTCCAAAGAGCCACTGCAGTTTTGAAACTGAAGAATATATCTATTTTTAAATTATAGAAAATTTTCTCTTTAGCCTACTGAATTTTGAAACAAAGACTGCAATATTTTTTTTGGTTTTGGTTATTTTGTTTTGTTTTTTGCTAGTCCTTGGACTTGAACTTAGTGCCTAAGCACTATCTTGAGCTTCTTTGTGCTCAAGGCTAGCACTCTACCACTGAGCCACAGCACCACTTCTGACCTTTTCTGAGTAGTTTATTGGAGATGAGTACCCAACTAAATACTGCAATTATTGAAAGCAAAATGAGAATAGTTAATTTTACTTTAATATTCTTAATTAGAAATAATAAATGTTTTACTTACAACTTTTAAAGTACTTCTATCCCCAACAGATATAAAAGTAGCTGCAGTAAGTTAATGGCATGCTTTAATCACTAATTGGTAGGAATTATATCTTTAATTAAAACTGGCGTTTAAGAGCACTCAATATTAAATAAAACATCTCTCTTCTACCCTACTTTGAAGTTACTGCTAGCCTGAGTATAAATCTAGCCAACAGAAAAGAGCAATGTATATCTACCATACTATATCTAAATACTATTTGTACATGAAATTATTTATATATAATGTATTCTTAAGAATATTCCTAAAAAATATTCACCTGTGCATTGTCTATACACATTTTTAATCTTTCTGTTCAATTTTTAAATAAGTTAACACAGGAAAAAAATCATTCCTCCAAGAAAATTATTCATAGCTGGGTGTGGTAGCACATGCCTGTAATCCCAGCTACTGTGGAGGTGAAAGTAAGTGGTATTCAAGTATGAAGCCGACCTAGGGAAAACTAGCAAGACTCTATCCCCAAAATGAAGTAAAAACAAAAGGTCTACAGGCTTGGCTCAAATGGCAGAATCTTTGCCTAGCATGCTCAAGGCCCTGAGTCCAATCCACATTTACAGACACAAAAAAGAAAATCATTCATCTTTCTTTTTTTTCTACTTAAAAGTTTTCTTCAGAGAAAGAAAGAAAGAAAGAAAGAGAGAGAGAGAGAGAGAAAAAGAAAGAAAGAAAGAAAGAAAGAAAGAAAGAAAGAAAGAAAGAAAGAAAGAAAGAAAGAAGGAAAGAAAGAGAAAGAGAAAGAAAGAGAGAGAGAAAGGAAGGAAGGAAGGAAGGAAGGAAGGAAGGAAAAGAAAGAAAGGAGAGAGAAAAGAAAAGAAGTAAGTACAACCAACAGAAGTCTGGGGCTTTACACTTTATCTTTTGGGATAAAGCTGACTTGTTTTAGGAACTAATAACACAAGTAGATGGTATAAAAACCACCACATCCTACCTAAAAATTTAAACCGTGGCATAAGCCACAGCATTTCATAAAAGAACTACATGAAAAAAGCAGCAGTGGGACTCCGACTACAGTGGAGGAAAATCTGAAGAGCTAGTGCTGACCTCCTCTTTATACTCCCCCCTGGAAGTGTAGAAAGAAACAGGTAAACCATTTGGCCATGTCCATAGTCTCAATATAACATCTTGAGCGAAAGCTAGTATACACTTAAATGCTTAACTTTTAAAATATATCCAACTCAGCATGGTCCAGAAAAAACTTCTTATGCCTATTTATCTATTCCCTACCTTGAAAAGGCAGAGTCCACCAAATGTTCTGATGAAACTGTTTTACTCTGAAGCCAAAACACCTCAATAATCTTCAGTAACAACTTTTTGCTTTTGCGATATTTCGATAGATCACTTGTCAACATGCTTAGTAATGCTGGGAAAAAGCCATGGTTTATTTTTATTTACCTTAAGCAGATCTATTTCCTTGATGCAATCAGCACGTGCTTTGGCATCCATTAAATCAAATATCTAAAAACAGAACCCACAATTATTAATAAAGTAATAAATTATACTTCAACCTTCCATGTAAATTCATTTTAACACTACAGCTGCATACACAGTGCATTACTGTACTCCACAGTTGTACACAGAGTACATTTCTTTATTGACTGTAGGAGTCTATGGGCACTTGATCTCATGTTCCCACTGACGCTTACATCCTTCCCTCCATCAGAGTTTGTAGTAAAAATGAAAGAAGATAACTGCTAGACATCTACTGACACTCAAGTCTTGAGTCCACATGAACAGAATGGAGATTCTTGTCACAAAGGTTGTGAAATGATAGTTAATAGACACTAAATGTATTTTATGAACTACTTCACCTAACTCCCATTAATCTTCATGAGAACCGTACTATCCTAAGCCCATGTTAAGATGAACAAAAGGAGGATTACAAAATTTAAGAGACTGGGAAAAGGTCACACAGCTAATTAATTGGAGCAAACAGAATTGGTTCTCAGAGCTATTCAATGAGAACCCAAGCTATGAGCCATTAATCCACTGGTGCAGATCATTTCTAAAAGGACTAATATATGTGATCAAAACAGGAACCACAACATTGAAAGTGGGTGAAAATGGATTCCTTGAAGAAAGAAGTTATGAAGTTCTGTTTTAAACATAGAGCATAGAAAGACATACATACATAAACAGACACAGTGTCTGTGGTATTAAATTTCTCAGAGGTATTAAAAAGATGTCTCAAAAGACTCTTTGAGGCTGGTGGCTCACATCTATAATCCTAGCTGCTCAGGAGGCTAAGATCTTAGAATAATGGTTTGAAGTCAGGTCTGGCAAGAAAGTCTATGAGACTTTTATCTGCAGTTATCACCAAAAAATTAGAAGTGGAGATGCGGTTCAAATAGTAGAATGTTAGCCTTCAGCAAAAACAAGATCAAGGACAGTGTCCAGGCCCTGAGTTCAAGCCACAGGGTGGGAAGGGGGGTTCTTTGAGACAACATAAGGAAGGAAATGTTGAGAATTATCCATCTATATGAAAACCACAAAATTAAATCATACAACCAAAGGATAGATCTCTGAAAACTAATCTCTCAAAGTTCTAAATATATGGAAAAAAACAAAAAATTTAAAATATGGTAGCTATTTCAGAAAAATTCCAAATAAATCAATGTTGCATACCAACACTGGACAATTTTTCAAAGTAACAACATTTTGCCAGGCACTGATGGCTCAGGCCAGTAACCCTAGCTACTGAGCAGGCTGAGTCCAAGGATCATGGTTCAAAGCCAACCCAGGTAGGAAAGTGTGTGAGACTGATAATGAGCAAGAAGGGACCTCTCATCAGAGGGGGAAGGCGGGGAGAGAGGAAAGACAAGCTAGTACACAGGATTTCAAAAATATTATGTCAAATCAACAGTGGAAGGAAGTACATTTTCAAAAACACTCAGTGTTGCCATTACGATTTCAAAGTAGTGACACAGGCTGGGAAGTAGCCAGTGGCAAATCGCTCGCCTAGCAAGTTCAACGTCCTGAGTTCGATCCCTAGTACAAAAAAAAAAAAAAAAAAGAAAAGAAAAGACAAAGAAGTGACACATACTGAGAACACAGACTATTTTCCATGTATGATCATCATTAAACCTGGAGCAAAGTCACTGGAACTCAGTGCACTCTTCTGTGAAAGCCTGGAATAAGGCAGCCGGATGAGGTGAGAGGCAAGAAGATGGGTCCTGAGGGCCGAGCACAAGAACCTGGACGGAAGTTCTAACGCGTTTGTAAGAAAATAAAAGAGCTGCCAAAGTAGGCTACCAGGGTAGGAACGCCACGGAGTTGAGCTGGGAACAGTAATGGAGCTCTTCAGACAAGTAACACAGCCTTAAAATAGCGTTAGATGAGGAAATTCAATAGATGATTCTTCAGGAATTTTTAAGACTGGGCTTATGACTCAATCAGCAAGGGAAGTCATCTGGCTACCGATAGTTTTAAAAAATTTTTCTTGTGAGCTCAGAGATGACTTTTTTTTCAAAGATGAGTCATGGCCTTTCTTTTCAGCACAAGTGTAACACATGAGGAGAATCAGTAACATGTCTGAAATGCAAGTACATTTCTTCTCACAAAGGTTTGCAGACATGTTCTCTAATTAAATAAGCTAAGTATAGCTTTATAACATCATCTCTCTCTTCTATAAGATAGTTACTGTTTAAATTAGAGGATGCCACAGCATGCAAATTCTGAAAGAATACACTGTTTCTTCCTACAGCACAGTGGGGCAGGGTGTAGGCGGTGTGGGGGCCGGGGGATAATATAACTAAGACTGGATGGAAATCTGATGGCACAAAATAATTCCTGCCTCTTCAAACTTCCAAGCCCCAGAAAGGAAAGTACAGTCAAGTAGGAATGGTTTGGATGGCACTGTCAGAGACCTAAGAAAGCTTTTGTTCTTCCTCTTTCCATCCTTCCTTCCCTTTTCTTTCTGCTGCTAGTGCAAGTATGACTAAATATAATAAAAATCACTACAGACAAGACTGGCTCTGGACTCTTCCACACTCATAATCAGTGAGAAGACAGAAAAGGGAGCCAAGGACCTGCACACGAATTCCTCAAGCCATCCATTTCCAGTTTGAATGTACTAGGCAGGTGCTCTACTGTTTGAGCCGTACCTCCAGCCCTTTTCTGCTCTGGTTATTTATGAGACAAGACCTTGCTTTTGGGCCCAGGCTGACCTGGACCAGGATCCTCCTATTTGGATTTTCTACCACAAATGAAAAGACGGGTGCTCAACACTGCATCCAGCTTTGTTTTGCTTTGATTTGTTTTTCTGTTGGGAGGGGGTGTTCTGGGCTGGCAGTCACAGGTTGCTGCATTCAGCTAGCGGCTGAGGTGGGGTCTTTCCAATCTCTGCCTCACAAGTAGGTAGGATTTCAGGCAAGAGCAACCAGAACACAGCCATCCTCCAATCTCTGGCAAATGGGCTTTTTTCAATGTTGAGTTTCTAATTGTATTTTGAAATACTGAAATTTGAAGGTTATAACCTTACTTGAGAATCTATTTTCTCAATACTCAGAGATTCACAGTAGCCATCTGATATATTTCACAAATGCATTAAAGAGTTCTTTAGGAACAGAGTAATCATTCCAAAAATCATTTGTTTCAAAATATAAATTACTGCATTCTATGTTGCATATTCTTAAGTAGTATATTAGAAGAAGGAAATGAGGAATTCTTACATTGTGCTTGTGACAAAATAAGTGAGTGATTCTGGTAACAACATTCAGCATCAACTAGTGGCGCTCACGATTGCTCTATGGCTCTTCATCTCTATTAAGCCACAAATGAGATAGGAGTTCTTGAAAATGAATATCAGGAAAGACACCTAAGAGTACCAGAATTACTGTTTATAATAGCCAACAACTGTCAACAGCCTAAACCCTGGGTGGTAAGAACAGAATATTATATAGAAGTGAAAAGGATAAAATACAGCCATGTGGGCTGGGAAGGTGGCTCAGTGGTAGAGCGCTTGCCTTGCATGCCTGAGGTCCTGGGTTCGATTCCTCAGCACCACATAAGCAAAAAGAAAAAAGCCAGAAGTGGCGCTGTGGCTCAAGTGGTAGAGCGCTAGCCTTGAGCTGAAGAGCTGAGGGACAGCGCCCAGGCCCAGAGGTCAGGCCCCGCGACCGGACCCAAAAAAAAAAAAAAAAAAAATACAGCCATGTGACTTCAACATGGATTGATTGCTCAAAGATGATATTAGATAAAAATGTACATATTATTTTAAAATTATATATTAACTTATTGTATGTATACTCTGTATAATATCTACATTATACACATGCGTTTCACTTAAAGAATGAAAATTAGAGCATGTAAGTACAGGCACTAGGCTTCAGTGGGACAAGAATATGAGGGCTAGGGCAGGACTTAAGAAGCAAAGAGAAGGAACAAGAAAGGTCAAACAAATCTGAAAAATATAGAAGGGCCGAGATAGGAGAACAAACTGATCCACAATGCTACTCATTAAATACAGAGTCTAAGTTGGGTCCCAGCGTCTACTTTTACTAACCTCACTCCTCTCCCAAGGGAATAAAGCTCACCTCACCCTTGTTTCAGTTGCTGCCAGTGTAGCTTGACTGCCATTTGCTAACTTCAAGCACTACAATGAATTTTCCACTGTGATGCCTACAGAGGTAGAACTTCAGTTGAGGATTTCATGGCTAGTTAAATATCCCCTTGGAAGTAATGGTGACAACTTAAAATCTACAAGTGAGGGTCATAAAGTTTCCAAGAGCATTCCAATTATTGCTGGATATAGGTGAATAACACTGACTTTTAAAACCTGGAGGTCATGTTAAAACTGAAACTTAGTTTCCACTCTGCATTACTCTTACTTCAAAGTTTTAAAAGACAATATTCATTCTTTCCCAGCATTCTCTACTTTCATCCCAGGAATACTTTTCTCTATCTAGTTGTCACATATGATAATTTTATGTGGATTTATATCGTTAAAGTTATCTTACCTGCACTTTCTTTAAAGCTACTGGTACTCCATCCAAGAGACAGGATGCTCTGTAAACTTCACTAAATTGTCCACGACCAATTTTCTTCTCTATTCGAAAGTTGGCTAATGTATTATAGCCCATATCTGGTCGTAAGGCCTTCTGTAATTTAAAACAGAAAAGTCAGAAAAAAATTTTTATTTATATTTTTTATTGTGAAAATACTGTACAGAGGGGTTACAATTACATGGGCAAGATAGTGAGTACATTTCTTATCAAGCATTGTAGCCTCCTCCTTTGTTTACCCTTCCCATCCCTTCCCAGCCTTCCCCTGCCCCCCCAAGAAAAATTTTCAATCACATAAAACGGTCACCATTTTCACTTACCAAGACAATGTCTAGGAAAAGCCTACAAACAGCTAATGACAAATATTTATTGAACACCTACACCTGTTGGGTACCTTTGTATATACTTCAGGACACAGCAGCAGACTAAATAGACAATAATCTCTGCACCTAAGGAATTTACACCAAACTGGAAAGGGTAAGACCACAGAAAATCAAGGAAGGAAGGCGCACACTACAGAAAGATAACAGGGATATTGAAATCTGAGATAAGAATTACCTTATCTTTCCTTTACAGAGAGTAAACTAATCTCATCCAATCTGACATTTCTCTGATGTTTATTGTTTAAATAGACCTTTTACGTACCCACTTAATCCAGCCTGCCAACTAACACTTGAAACACTTTTTAACTTCCTGGTTGTTATTTTTTTTCTCTAAAAAGAAAAAAAATCTACTAAAAGGAACTTTACCACCACATCATCACCTTCAGAAATAATATTTTTATTGTTTTCTTTGTGGAAAGAGCCATTTTCTCTTGATTGATTATGTGCCAGGCCCAGTGCTAACTGCCAGGGAAACAGATGACTCAGACATGTTTGGTGCTCTTAAGTAGCCTAACCGAATACGTGGAAGAGGTCATGCACTGCTCGGCACGGAAGGCACCATGCATACACAGTGGTAGTCCCTATGTGGAGACAAAGCCCAAATTACCCATCTGATCTTTCGTTCGCTCGTCTGTTAGCTGGCTTGTTGGCTCCCTCACTGAGTTAAACGGGAAGTCATGAACAGTCAGACCCTGTCTACCACTGAGGTCCAGCTACCCTCCAGCAATGCTAATACTGCTCTTATGTTCCCCGTGGCACTTGCTTTAGTATCTCTCCTGATAAAAATGGTCAGTTTAGGTGTCAGATGCCCTGCTCCCATCTTTCTGGAGTTTTTCTAAGGTTCCTGAAATGTTGGCAAGTACACCTTCCAAGCCTTTAGCAGCCGTCTTCACAGCCCTGTGCCCTCTCTGCTGAGCCAGCCTCGAGGAACACGGACTCGCAGTGGGGCACAACTTGTCCCCTTCTGAGAGGGCTGACTACTGGAGCCTCATTAGTGCATCTGATGGCGTTCAGCACTTAACTCTGAGGCCTACAAATAAAATTGTGTCAAAGATGACAACCCTATATCCCGCCCTATGCAGAGGGCTGTTCTGATACGTGACACACACGACACTGATCCCTAGAGTACATTTTATTTTGTCACCTCATATATCAGGTCAACAAAAACTGCAAAATTCTGCCTTGGAAATCTGTAATTCAAACACAAAGTATCTCAAAAAGAGTAAAGGACGAACAGTAATTTCTTGTAAGATACATTGCTTTTCTTCTTCTGAAAGTCCAAACTGTTACAATAATACAAAAAAATCTAAAACCTGACTTCCTGAATACAAGATCATGAGGTAATTTTTATGATGACATAAAACTAACAACTACTAATACAACAATAATGGGAGATACTAAAGTAGTGACTGGAGCTCAGCAGAGACACACGTTAGGGTTTTGTATTTCACCTAATTCAGTTCTCATGCCGTGGAACTTGCAGCTGTCTGAGTCTCCAGAAGTCCACGATACACTTCCAAGTTCACTAACCAAAACCACCCCAGCAAGACCCAGCATCATGGGATCTACCTCATGATCTACAGATATTTTCAAGTTCAAGTTCTTTGATTAAATATGAACTGATAACTGGATGCCAGTGGCTAATACCTGTAATCCTAGCTATTCAGGAAGTTGAGATCTAAGGATCAAATCGAAGTTCAAAGCCAGCCCAGGCAGGAAAATCTGCTAGACTCTCATGTCCTATTAACCACCAAAAAGCCCAAAGTGGAGCTGTGACTTAAGTAGTAGAGCACTAGCCTTTAGCAAAAAGGCTCAGGACCAGCATGAAATAATAATAACTACTATTATTATTACTATTATTAATTAAAATAAAGTGAGAGGATTGGGAGCATACCTTAAGAGGTATCAAACCTACTTAGCAAGTACAAGGCTCTGAATTCAACACTTGTACCACTAAAAAATCTGAGAAGAGATACATACTAAAATAATTTTAAAGTATACTATAAGAAAAACTTGTGAAAGGGAAATAATTGCCACGTTGCTCATTAAAAGGCTTCTTGTTGTCAATGAGTTTATAATTGCACGTACTTAATAAAGGAAGTATCTCTCAGATATTCAATGGGTAGTAATATATTCAAGTATTTAAACTTTAAAAATAAATTTTATTTTAGAAGGAGTGATGTGTTTTAAGCTGCCCAGGCTTTCCTAAGTGTAGACATACATACCTACATACATACACACACAGATGAGAGAGACAGACACACTGCGATAGTATGTAACATCCGAGCATGACAATCCTTCTCCCATTTACGCAGGGACCACTCGGCCTCCTGATGAAGACTTGTCAGTCTCCACAGTAAATGGAACAGCGTCATATAACCCATACACTGGAGATCTGACTGGGAATCCTATCTTCTGTCTGCACAATAACCTGACAAATATTAGCGGGAACTGCTAAGGCACTGTGACAACCGCATGCTGAGAGCAAAGTCTCACTAATGTGTTTTGGCATGCAGGTTTGTAATCACACATTTACATATGCAATGACCTACATTTGCATGTCAGATCACACACTGTCTTGGTCTATTAAGACTGGGCACCTCCCTGTGCTTGGCGGCCAGAGTGGTGAGAGAGGGCCAGAGGGCGGTGTTTTTTGGCAGTTGAGGGACGAACTGCCACCAAGGATTAGGTTGATATAGCCTGAGCATTAGACACTTCATTAGACGTAATCTGTTTAACAGTGGGCAGTGTATGTAAACTTCACAGCCCATTTGCGGCACCTTTGTCCCCCCATGGCCTTTCTTCAAAGGGCAGTGTGGGTGAATGACAGCTTGTCTCATCTGCTCCCATGTCCTGTCACCCGGCGAAGATGTGGAGCGCTGCCGTGAGAAGGGGCATAGCTGCACATCTCCCACTACCCTAGGGTCTCTGCCACACCGCAGTTTGTGCAAAAGCAGCTCCTAGAAGAGGAGGGCTCCTGTAGGAAATCATCGGAGTAGTACAGACACTTCAGCAATGACTGTGTGATACTGTATCCATCCACCCCCGCTTCATTTTGATGAATTAGGTCCCTCAACAGAGAGGGATCAAACAGACCTAACAGACAGAGCATTACATTAAGTGTTTTAAATAAAATATGGTATCATTACTTGAGTTCCACTCAAGAATAGAACTACTTGTAGACTATCTGATTATCCACCATATGTATGAGACAATAGATAGAGATGTATATGTACATGTATTTATAGATACATGTCTATATCTATTGCTACAGCCATTCCTATACCTATACCATATTAGGTTAGCACTTTACATTGTTCTGAGAATAAGTCAGCCAAAATATGAAATTTAAATTCATATGAAATAGAAAACAAGAGGTTTTTATTTGTTGCTGCTTTTGTTTCCTTTTTGTCTTGTGTGTTCATTTGTCTGTCTTTAGGAGGGGAAAGGGGTGCACACAAATGCAGGGACAAAGGGTAAACAAATGCAGCACTGGTACTCACTAGACACTATATTGAAAATGAACTGTACAACTTGTAGGTGGAGGGAAAACCTGGGAGAGAGCGAGGAAAGGGACGACATTGTCCAAAAGGAATGTGTTCTTTATCTGAAATATGTAACTGGAATCCCTCTATCACCTTTGTGATAACAATAAAAAAATTGAAATAAAATCACTTTTTTGCTGTTCTCTATTTAGAGTCTATCCGAGTCTCATTCTCTTCTGAAATGCACAAAATGGCCTTTTGTATCTGAGATGAATCACTTCAAGGATCTTCATCTTCCATGAGGTGAAAGCCTTCCTCTCTTCCATTCTAAAAAGAGGATGCGAGGACTTCTCTGGACAGGATGGGCTTGGGGCACCACGCCCCAGAGTTGCACCTTAAATGACACCATATGTGCTCTGGCCCCTCCCAAGACATTGCATTGGCTTGTTCTTCCAAAGAGCCTCTCTTTCCACGTGAGACAAACTACTGTGGCCTGCTCACATCAGGGGCAGCTATATTTGCTGGTTCTTGCCTTGGTACTAGCAGAGCAACTGACAGCAGTCATGCAGCTCCATAGAGTCCTTCAAACTCAGGCCCTGTGCTAGGGGATACACCACACTTCCTAGCCTCAGATGATTCATTTCCACTTTAACTATTTGTTACTCACTATACAGTGGATTCCTCAAAGACAGAGATCAAATTTTTTGTTTGTACTTAAGTAGACAAATATTCACTAACTTCAGGGAATGTATCTAAAGAACTTAGTGAATGTTTAGAATGCAGGAGATACAAAACATCTAGGGCCTGACAGTAATCATGGATCCGTTCTATGTGCAACCTAGTATGGGAGCTGGATAGTGCAAGAGAAAGAACACGGGGCCTATGACACACTTGCCTCTACCACCTTCCCAACAGGAGGAGAAACCCCTAATGTAAATGCAATTGTTAGTAATAAATCGGAGTGCTTTTTGAGAGGTAAGATCAGCACTGAACCCTGAACATCCTTCTTGCTCAAAAGCCTGATATAGGCATGGTTCATGTGCTCACAGAACTCAGTAGAAAAGCACACATTCTAGATCAGTCAGCAAGGTCCAACTCCTGGTTTTCATCCTTGTTTTAAACTGGGAAAGCCACGCTAATCTCTTCTGGTTTGGTGAGCTGAAGGAAAGCCTATGCCTGGGACTGTGTCTTGGTGAGGCGGTAAGGTAGGAAGCAATGAGGCAGAGCC